AAAAGGCAATCATCAAAATCTCTAGGCAACCAACAAGTTCAGACGATTGAAGGAAAAGACACAAAAATTAGGAATTCCATTTCCCGTAGAATAAGAGCTTGACGAAGCCAACTCGTACCCATATCAATTAAGGAGCCGAGACCCCATTCCCCCAAAGGGCTATCAAAATTTGATCCCCAAGGAGTCAACCAAATCTCTGGTGGATCGCCAAAAAGAAGAATTTACACCTAGATGCAATCTTCAGCACATCTATCATCTCGTGAGGCATCATCAAGAGCCAACATCCCCAAAAGGGAATATTAGCCTATTCGAGAGGGCAAAACATTACAGCCAAAAGTCTTCACTTCGATGAAGCATCTCGCGCACTTAGGAGGCAATACCGAACCTCAATGAAATATTTGCTCTACCCGAGCGCCACTCGAATCAACAAATCCTCAATGGATCCCTTGCTGCCTAAGCGCATTCATCAAGAATCCCGATAATCGCAGTCGGACGACTAAAACAAAATCCGAAAGCGAAGAATCCTGAGCATACCTGATGACTACACAAAAGTCAAGACAAGAACAATTACTCCCCATGGAGCCGGCGCATAATCGAAAACGAAGCCGCCACCACCTCTTTAGGAAAGGGAAAGACTCGAAGACAAAGACTCGCACACAGCAAAACCGGCGCATGATCGGAAACAGTAAGCCGCCACCACCTCTTCGAGAAAGGGAAAGACCCGAAGACAAAGACCTACACACAGTGCAAAACCGGCGCATGATCGAAAACAAGAAGCCACCACCACCACTTCGGGAAAGGGAAAGACCCGAAGACAAAGACCCGCACACAGGAAAACCGGCGCATGATCGGAAACGGTAAGTCGCCACCACCTCTTCGAGAAAGGGAAAGACTCGAAGACAAAGACTCGCACACGGGCAAAACCGGCGCATGATCGAAATAGTAAGCCGCCACCACCACTTCGGGAAAGGGAAAGACCCGAAGACGAAGACTCGCACACGAGCAAAGCCGGCGCATGACCAGTAGCGTAAGCCGCCACCACAGCCAAAGGGTCAGCTACCGCGTCGAAGGAGCATCCTGAGGCATCTAACCTGATGGGGGTTCATACTCATCAACCGAGGGGTCAGCTACCGCATCGAAGGAGCATCCCGAAATTCTCTACGTGTCAACCGAAGGGTCAGCTACCGCACCGAAGGAGCATCCTAAAGCCTCACAGCAAATCATTCGAAGGGTCAGCCTCCACAGCAAGAGGAGCATCCAGAAGACAACCGGGCAAGATGGTTAACTCCTTCACCCGCCAATTGACCTCATGGTATGTTAACCCATGGTCAATTGGTCTGGTAAAGAGGGGCAATTGTAGACCCCAAATCTTGTCCGACCCCCTAATAAAGTCGAAGATCGCCCGTTTCAAAGATGGTTAAGACTTTATCAAGTCCCTAGTAGCTTGTTCTAGGTTCCATTTAGGATAGGAAGGGTTTTTAGAGGCATTAAAAATCGGGAAATCCGCCGGAGACAGCAGATGGTCGTCCAGAACAGGCGGATGGCCGTCCAGAACAGGCAGATGGCCGTCCAGGACAAGCAGATGGCCGTTAGTGGCAACTTTAAGGCCATGGACGACCATCCACTTAGCTTGGACGACCGTCCATGGCCAAAAGTTGTCATGGACGGCCGTCCATACTACATGGATGGCCGTCCATGGCCACTTTTTGCCATGGACGACCATCCGCTTTGTCCAGACGGTTGTCCACCTTTTCCAGGCCCGAATCCCTATAAATAGGAGCCTCATTTCTCCGATTTTTCACACCTTTCACACTCCTCCACTCTCTTGGAAGCCTTTTGGCACTTGAGAGTGACCCTGAGCATTATTCCGGGGTTCGAGGGAGCTTTCCAATTTCCGTTAAGGTTGAAATCGGTTAAGGAAGTCTCTTTTTGAGACATCCGACCCTCGGTAGAGTGACTTTTCTTTATTTTGCGGGAGGAGCGTGTTTGTAGAGTGCGGGGACTGCCAAAAAGCATCATCACGTTTTCGAAGAGTTAATATGAAGCTCGCTTCGGAGGTTCCTTCTCTATTCTCTGTCTTTTTTTTACTGCTTTCGTTATCGCTTTCTTTGTGTGCATTAGATAATAGAGCCATGTAGATATTTAAATTCTGCAAGTAGATCAAATAATAGGGTAAAAATGTAATTTCTTTAAGTGTTTATTTTCTAAGTTAGTCCATCATAGGGAACCTGAAAGGGGCGTTGTGGGGGTGCTAACACCTTCCCCACACGTAAGTAACTCCCTTACCCGACTCTGGTTGTAATGACCAAAGTTGGTTTTTTCTAAAACCACTGCCTTTTTCTTTTTACCTTTTTCGGTGTTTAAGGTTAAAACACCGATGGCGACTCTTCGAACCTATTCGAAAACCTCACCTTTAGGTCTAGCCCGGTATTCTGACAGACCTAAAGGCGTTGAACCGTTTCTTTCAAAGAAAACGCGAGTCATTTCAAAACCATTGTGTCGCTCCGACCGCCTCTTCTGACGGCGGCGACACACATTAGTTCCATTAACCGCATCAGTTGCTCCTTCATGGAATTAAGCTCAGCGGTGAGCTTGTAGTCCTGTTCTTCTATGTGCTCCATTAACTGAGCCATTTGCTCCTTTATGGCGTTAAGCTCAAAGGTGAGCTCACGATTTTGCTTTTCTAGCTGCTCCATCGTCTCGACTTTCCGCGTGCAAGTGAGAGTAGGAAGAAAACCAGCCACTTTCTAGAATGCATATGAATTAGGGTTTTTATTAAAAATGAATTATTAGTGTGGGATAGATATGCCTTAAGACAATGGCTTTGACATCATCCTTAAAGCTTACGCTTTACGGACTGTCATACCCACTTTGGCAGAATGGTTCTTTCCTGATAAAGGTCACCATATACCTTAATACACTTGTCTATTCCTTATGGAAGATTACAAGTGCACTTGGGCCTCTTTCGCCTTTGTCTTAGGGATATCTAATGCCCCCTAGAATGAATGTATCTATGCGTGCACCAGTACAAAAGGGTAGCAGATGTTCAAAGTGACATAACTTTTGATTGGGATGTCCGATTTGGACGCACAATATATCAAAACAAAGAGAAAAGGGTGAAGAACAAGGCTACAAATACCCGAAGGGGATTTGGCCCAAAATTTTTCCTGTCGCCGCCGTCCGTTCCGACATCCAGGGACATCTCGAACGTTTATGCGAGCGGTCGCGAAAAGATGGTTTAGACTCGCGTTTTTGTTTAAAATGTGTTCATTGCTTCCGAGGTGCTCAACAACTGAACTATCCTCTAATAAAAGCAAGGTTTTCGAAAAGGGGTTCTTTTGGAGTCGCCACCAATGTTTTGACCGTAAACATTGGAAAAGGATAAAAAGGTGTTGATTTTAATAAAAACCAAACTTGGCCATCATAACCAGAGTTAGGTAAGGGAGTTAGTTACGTGTGGGGAAGGTGTTAGCACCCCCACAACGCCCCTTTCGGGTTCCCTATGACTGGATTAATTCATTTAAGTAAAGATTACGAGAAATTACGCGATTACCCTATTTTATTGCATAATGTTTAAAAATGGTTATCTACATGACTTTATTTACTATTGCATACAGAAAGCAATAAATAAAAGCAGTAAAAGAGAAGATAATTGAACAGAACCTCCGTAGCAAGCTTTATATTGCGAATCTTTAATCGTGAGGATGCGTTTTGGCAATCCTTCGCTCTACAAAGACTCTCCTCTCCGAATACAACACTGACTCTACTAAATTTTACAGAAGAATCGAATGTTGGAATATGATTCCTTAACTGATTGTTACCTTATTAAGGCAATCAGAGAGTTCATTCGAAGAGGGAAGAGAATAGACAAGTACTGGGAGTTGTCTCGGTGTGTGAAACAAGTGGCAAATGAGCCTCCTATTTATAGTTTTTCGCCGCTCGACACTCGAGACGCCCCTCCGGGTTGGGACGGCTGTCCGGGTTGGGACGGCCGTCCCAACCGCATTTTTACACATACCGAGACCCCCGAAGAGTGGGATCGGCAGTCTCACTTGGGACGACCGTCCCAACTGCATTTTTTACACATACTGAGACCCCCTGAAGAGTGGGACTGGCAGTCTCACTTGGGACGACCGTCCCACTTGGCCAGGGTAGCTTGGGACGGCCGTCTCGACTTTGGGACGGTGGTCTCGACCTACTTTGGCCAGTTTTTGTGTTCTGGGACCCCTGGGAAGCTTTCCTTTCTTTATTCGGACGTCGGTTGGTGCCGATGAACGCCCGTTAAAGCTTTATCTTCATATAGGAAGTCTTCTTAGCCTTTATTGAGATGCTAGGTGAGCTTTATCTTGTTGTAGGAAGACTCTTTAGCCTTTATTGAGAGACCGGGCAAAATTAGGGGTCTACATTTCCCAATAAATGCTTCTAAGACCCATTTTTTCGGGGTTTATTAAAATGATGCGTATGCGTACTTTCCTTATGCATTTATTTTCTCTCTTGGTTTTTCCGCTTATGACATGATGCGATATGAATGATACGACTTTGTCAAAATTCTTTTTATAAATGTTTTGATTTTGTTATTATTATTATTTTTTATTTTTTTTATTTTTTATTTATTTTTTGTTTTTTAGCCTTTTATCTCTTCGTCTGATCGCGTGGCTACTTAGCTTACAAAGAACTTAAAACCAGGCTAGCTAAAAGGCAGATCGTCCGAGATAAAAGTAGTTTATTGC